ATAAATTTTGGTATCATGGCTGGTATACCAGCCTGATCCCACGAGGAAACGTAAGTATTTTACGTTTTGTCAGTTTAGTGGCTAATTCGTACGAATTCTTATGAGTTCAGTCGTAAGAAAACGTACAATTTGAAAATGGAGGTGTGGCACCTAACCCCACCCCTAACCCCAACCGTCATTGGGTGATTAGCTAATCGTACTAAACTGTAGGTATTAGATTGTACGAATTCAAACGAATTAGCCACTAAATCAAAAAGTTACGAATTGCCGTGAGATTGCGTTGGATATACTGGCCTCCCATGCTGAAATCACCACTTTGAATCCCAATCTGAGTTTAAATACCTGAGAGGTTACATTCACAATATTCAGATATTTCTGTCTGACATGTGCAGTGGACCTTTTTCTACCAATTCTGCCCCACCGCCCTCTTTTACAGCCTCTTTCTCTCTCACATTCTATATTTAATGGCCCATATTGTTTGTCTTTCTTTCTAAATATCTCTTTCTCTTCAGCTCCAGCTGTTTATTAGTCTCTCATTCCTGCGAGAGCTCTGCTTTGTTTTGTACGGCCAGAGACTGAATATTTATTCAACAGACAAGGGCTGTAAAACCCCAAGAGGACAGCATGTTTAAACAATGTCATAATTCATCTTCACCCAGCAGTTTCGCCAGTCATTTGTTGAAGCTGACAAATGCACTCTTGGTCAACCACTTTGCAGTTACCATGCAATTTGGGACCTCATGTCCCAAATGCTCAGATTTTGTTAACAATAAATAGCTGATCAAAATTACATACAAAATACTGACGAAGATGTCTGTTGGCTAGCTTTATTCATTTACCCTACTACCAGGTTTTCTCTTTAATCAAAGTGACACACAAGTGCACATACTTAGTCAGTTGGTCAGTATTAAAGGGAATGTATCATTGCTAAAAAAAAATGCATATTATCTAGAACACAGGTGTCAAACTCAGTTCCAAAAGGGCCGCAGCTCTGCACAGTTTAGTTCCAACCCTAAGTAAACACACCTGACCAAACTAATTGAGTCCTTCAGGCTTGTTTGAAACCTACAAGTGTGTTGGAGCAGGGTTGAACTAAACTGTGCAGGGCTTCGGCCCTCCAGCAATTGAGTTTGACACCCCTGATCTAGAAGAATGTCCAAGCTGTTATTTATTTCATTAAAGGGTTATAATTGGTGCCATGCTTAAAGTAGTGTGTACAACTTGGGTACATAAATGTAGCAAGCTAAGCTAAAAGCTGGCAAAAATAGCGTAGCTGGCAAAAATAGCTTAGTGATCAGAGCAGTAGCCTGAACATTTTTTGCAGTAATGTCTTTTGTGTGAGGGTAAAAAAAAACAAATAAAGCAATAAAAACAAAACCAAAAAACAACAACAACAGACTAGTTTTAAATGACATGAGAACGAGCAGATGATGACAGAGTGTAAGTGAACTTTCCTTCCAATGGGTGTAGTAGTTAAGAGTAAATAATAATTAGTGAAATTGGGATGTTGAATCAAATCCTCTAATAATACATCTCTAATGTTATTTAGTAGGATAAGTATAAGGTTCGGCGGTTGAGGAATGGTGTGGAATTGGAGAAAATGACTTTTAAACCGCATTTGTATTGAGTAGACTTTGTGAGCACCCACAGCAAAGCTTCAGCTGGGCACAGATAGCAAAGCATGTGATGTTTGTTGGTTAGATCATCCTACCGTACCATGTTAGTGAAGGCAGGCAAATGCGGCGCAATCCTCTAGCCGTATTTGGTTTCTGGGTTTCGGGTCAGGTGGTCTATCCTCCGCCCTTAACGATTGTAACTTGGGGCTCTATAAATACACTCACTCCTTCACTTCCCCATCCCCCCTTTCTATATATCTTTCTCTTCTGTTGCATTTCTCTGTCTCATATGAACCTTTACACTTCATCTTTGAATGTTTGAAGAAAAAAAAAAAAATTGAAGAACATTTGACTTTGAAGACCCTGCTGAAAAATCCAGCTTAAACCAGCCTGGTTGGCTGGTTTTAGCTGGTCGACCAGGCTGGTTTTAGAGGGGTTTTGGCCATTTCCAGGCTGGTTTCCAGCCATTTCCAGCCTGGTCTTAGCTGGTCAGGCTGGAAAATGACCAGCCAAATCCAGCTAAAACCAGCTTGAACAGTCTGGTTTAAGCTGGATATAGCTGGTTTTGGCTGGACTCCCAGCTTGGCTAGGCTGGTCAAGCTGGTTTTAGCTGGTCATCTCCCAGCCTGACCAGCTAAGACCAGGCTGGATATGGCTGGAAACCAGCCTGGAAGTGGCCAAAACCCCTCTAAAACCAGGCTGGTCTACCAGCTAAAACCAGCCAACCAGCCTAGGCTGGTTTAAGCTGGATTTTTCAGCAGGGGAATGCTAGAAAATGCATGTTAGTTCTGTAGCCTCAAAACCTGGAATATAATTAGCATTTTCTAGCCATGGATTCCCTCGGGAATTTTAAAACATTTTTATAATACTTTTCTTGATTTATGTGTGTGGTAAACGCTCTTAAAGTCACTTTCACATTTTGTTCTGCAACATAAATTATACAGTCATAGCTTAAAAAATATGAATTTTTGGACAAATTTCCTCCCACACTCCGTGGAAACTGTTGACAAAATAGCCATCTGAACTGACCTACAAATTGACATCATGAGTGAATGACTCTATGGGGCTGCTTACACCTGCTCACTTGATGTGTTTTTTCTGATCAGCTGATTTTGAAATGGACAGGTGCCCTCCGAAATGCAATCGAGACAAATATACCTCTGATCGCTCGAACACATCAGGAGGTGGTCTGAGACACATTCCAGATGAAACTGGACAATTAATATGTCAAATATGTCGACCAATCACAATATGTCGACCAATCACAGAGCTTGCGCTACGGGTCTAGTTACGACGTGTAGTTACATATTTTGAGTGGTGTGCATCAACGTCAGCTTCAGCTATGGCGAGGGCTATGTGACCGTGTGCAGGCTGGCCGGAGCATATTCATGCCCTTGATGCAGAAGTATAAATCAGTATTTGTGTTGGAGCAGGTTGAAGGAAAATTCAGCTGAACATTGTCCCTTTGTGGTATTCTGTTTCATGCAATAATATCCAGCTGCAGACCCGCAGAACCACACACGTTTTAGGCACACACAATCTGGCACACACAATCTTGGCAAACCATATATGGCAGGGTTCAACGCTAAGGATTTTTTTATACGGGTCCGATCGGGCCATTGGTTGAGATTTTTACTTGCCCTGCCAAAATTTTCACTGGCCCCACCAAAAAAAACTAAAAAGTTAATAGCTATTTCTTCGCGACATATTTTAAATAGTGGCAAAATTATGCCTGTGAATCTAGAATTTAAACATTTTAAATATGTTAATAAATGTATAATGAGCAAAATTCAAGATTTTATGCAAATGAAGCAAATACTCAAAGCAGTATGAAAAATGTGCTGGTGTTTTAATGCAATTCTAAATAATTTTTATAAAAATGGCTTGCCAAACTGACAACTGTTTTATTTATTTATTTATTTATTTATTTTTCAGTTTCTTAATTTTGTACCCATGTAATTGTCTGCTTCTAAGACTTTAGAAACAGACGTTTTCTTTTAGCCTCATTGTTTATTTTGCCGCCATGTTGCCATCTTTTCGCTGTACTGGTTGTTACCAGGTTACAAAAAAAAAAAAAAAAAAAAAACGTGCTCATCGTTACTGGCCGATAGGGGCCAGTAGCAATCCTGTCTACTGTCCCGAGTGTCTTTCACGCTGGCCCCGGGCCACCGGGCAGTCCTTATTGTTGAGCCCTGTATGGTTACGACGGATGTTAATGTTATTAACGTCTTTTTGGACATCGTCATCAATATATTTTGATATATATGGTTAATAAACATTGCACACAATAACCAATAGTGTTCACTTTACTTTATTTCACAAATATTGTGATCGAGACGCATGAATGGGGAGCGTTGTTTCCGATTGCCATATACTACTAAACTGATGTTTTCTATCTGTCATCATATATGATCAGTCATCGGACAGAGTCATTTTAGCAGGTACTCGTTTGCTGGCTTTGCTGAACAATCTAAATTGGACGGGTTTAATTTATATAATGGATTCATTTATAATGAAGGAAATAATAGCAAGTTATTATAGGCAATAATTCATTTTATTTGTAATAAAAATATTTTTACATGTAATAAATGCATAACACTATATCAATATTTTACTCAAGTGATTAAATAGTGTGTATTTGCTTAATTTTCTTATAAATTTTTAGTCAATTTCCCACATTTAATACTGTAGTAATTTAAAGTAAGCAATAAATTGTTTTGAAACCAAAATTTAGCAATAGAAACAAATTAACTATTAATAATTAATTAAAAATAAATAATAATAATTATAACAGCTGTGACAGTTTGGTAAAAGATGGTAATTTATAATCAGATAATCAGTTAAGATTATCAACTCAAAACTATATTATATTGTTTAAATGATTAATTATAGTAATTCTTTTTAATGTGACACATTGCTGTTTGCTTTTTTTATATTTTGCAACAAAGTGATTTTAACCAAGTATGATAATAGGCTATTAAGATCCTGAATTAGTTTATTACACTTAATCCTACAATTAGACGGTCTATTATGTTTTCTTTGTGTATGTGGACACGTGAATAAAGTCCTAAATTTCTTTAACCATTTATTTTTATTTACATAATTTGAGTTCAGAAACAGCAGAGATGTTAAAATGATCGTTACGATATAATAATAATAATGACTGAAATGGGAAACCATATCTGTGAAATTCAATAGGTGCCGATAATGCTCCTAAGGAGTTAATTAGTTACCATATATGGTTTGCCTAAATCGTGTGTGCTAGATTGTGTGTGCCTGAAACATGTGTGGTTCTGCGATTCTGCAGCTGGACATATCTCGTTTCATGTGATAAGATGCACCTGTGTGAATTCCCATTTACATGTTTTATCAACTTTTCTTTAGACAAGCCAGAGACAGAAGGAAAGGAGCAGAATGGTACCAGAACAGCAGGCACTGGGGAAGCTGAGACGGTCCATCACACGACAGATATTTCCAGAGATGTGCAGGGAGGGTCAAGGACACCATCAGAACCCAGTGATCCTATGATGCATTCAAACAAACTGGAGATGATCCAAAAAGAACAAGTCAAGAAAAGCCAGGTCCATAAAGTTGTACCATTTTCCGGTTGGATCGTTCAAGATATTCACAACTTTAGTCTGGAGTCGAAGAGAGAAAATGAATATGTAAGCACGAACTGTATTTCTGCCAGCATACATTTCTAAGACAAAGCATGCGATTGTGTAGAGTACATTCTATTCCCATTCTCCTTGTTTGTGTCTCTCTACTCTGAACTCTTCATAAGTCTGAGATTTCCGGTAATTCTGTGTCCTCTCTGTCTGTGTGTTTGCACAGGGCCCATGTCGTCGGGAGATGGAAAGTGTTATGAAGCAGTTAAAGTTCACAAATGTGCTGAACCCAAGACGCTTCCGCATTCCAAACTGTGACCAAAAGGGTTTCTACAAGAAAAAACAGGTAATTACATTTTACCTAAGCGCTTTGACTTTTTTTTGGCAGATGCTTTTTATTTACAGTCCCTTACATTGCAACAATTACAGGGCCCCCATGTGGCTAAGTACCTTGCTCAAGGGAGAAGTAGCGATCCTATTTTAGGCCATCCTTACCTGGGATCAAGCATTCAGCATTTGTGTTATCAGCACAGATTCTCAAGCTATTATTGTACCACCATACAGGTACACAACGATAAGTAACTGTCATGGCAACTGTCACAACAGTATTGGGATATCTTGGGTTGAGGCCTATTTATATGTGCATGCTGGTTCTTGAAAGTATGAGTTGTTTCTACAGTTGACGAGGTGCATCAGTGGGTCTGAACAAGAGAAGGTAGTTGGTGGGGGCAAATGCAATTCTCGGAAAAGTTGTGAGTCAGCCACAACCCCCTATTAAGAGCATGAGTCAAAGAGCCTTGTCTGAATGGCCCTAATGAGTTTGGGTGAATTTGGGGCAAACAGATTATTTGTTGGTTTTTCAAAATGGAAAACCACTCCGACGGATACCACAGTGACCCTGAAAGCCTAACAACAACACTGTGGCCACTATGAAAAGGACATATAGAGAAGGAAGGGTTTCAAAAAAAGGACGAGATTTATAATCTGTCTGAAACACACGTTTCTAAGGTGCTGCTTTATGCTGAACAGAGGGGGAGTCTGTATCTGTAGGAGTGCACTGGTTAGTTTTGTGCTACATGTGACCTTAAAGGATCATGATGTCAATTTGTCGGAGGTTTTTTGCTGGCTAAACCAGCTGTTCTCTAGGGCTGGGTTCTCAGAATGGAGAAAATGTTATATGTTCAGATTGGATAACTCTGGAAACACTTGCAATAGTGTGCATGATCATTAAAGACAGATTCATAGTGGCAGCTGTAAGAAACTTTTTTGACCACAGATATCGTTTTTTCCCATCAATCACCCACAGCCTCAAGGCTGGTTTATACTTCTGCATCGAGTAATTGGTGTGACCCACGGCGCCTGCCTTGGGCGTAGCCGTGCATTTATACTTCTGCATGCTGTTTTTGTTGCTCTGTAACACTTCCGACACACTAGCTGGAAGGTAGGTTTTTATGTTCTAGTTTCTTCACCGCTGTTTTGCTTTTTCTGAACGTAGCTTAAAGTACAAGTAGCTAGTAGGTCAAACTTGCTCATTCAGCGGCGGGAACCGAAGGACTTGCAACAACCTTAATCATAAGGTGAAAAAAAAACAAAAATTTCCAGCTGGAGCTTAATCACTGGACTCAACACTTGTAAACACTCGCTCCATCGGGTCACCCACACTTGTCACAGCTACTCAAGCTACCTATTACTGAGCTTGTGCTATGCATCGTTGCGATTTGTAGTTACAATTTTTGAGAGGTGCGCGTCAGCCGTTGTTAGTGTGTTTCAATTTGCATACTTATACTACACCCTTATAGTATGTGAAGGAAAATATATACATTTGAGTGTGTAACAGAAGAGTATGCAAGCTTTGGGACATACTACTTTCTTGTTAACGGATCGTTGTGTTGCTTAGTTAAGAGCCTGTCAATCATCCACATTTCTTTTATGTTTAATTTCCTTCCATATGTGAAGTTTATTCATAAACTAATTTCGATCACAATCTCGTGATTATGATTGAACACGGCTGGTTCTGCATTGGATCCACCAATCAGGCCATTTCTTAACGCACTATAAAGAGCCAGGGTTTTTTACTACAGGCATCTTCGATTTGAAGTATCCCCCCTTCCACCCCTACCTCTTCACCTTTCCCTCCATAGGGCGGCACGGTGGCCCAGTGGTTAACACTGTTGCCTCACAGCAAGAACGTCACCGGTTCTAGTGTTTGAACAGGCTGGGGGTCGTTTCTGTGCGCAGTTTGCATGTTCTTCTCGTGTTCGCGTGGGTTTTCCCCGCGTCCTCCGGTTTCCTCCCACATTCCAAAAACATGCACAACGAGTGAATTGATCAATCTAAATTTAGCACTACAGTCAATCTCTCATCCTGCAGCATATCTCTTCATAGCATTCAATTTTTAGTCATCAGTTCTTACCAAGAGGGAGTTGTCGAGATCTACCTGAGCTCAAAGCTCCCCTCTCGCCCTGCAAACGGGAGGGAGCCCAGGGCTCAAGGACCTTTTGGACTCAGGGCTCTCTCCCGGGACAGCATGCCATACTTGCTTATAATCAATCATCAGCTAAGTGTGAACTCTTGAATGGAGATTCAGCAGCAAGTTAATTCGAAATACAAGTCTTTCATGCAGAGAAATCTCCTCAGGTCTTTAGATACTTCTGCATTCAGATGTTAATGTCCAAGCACTTCTTTATATAAGGTCAGTATTGTTGTTGCAGATGAAATCGAACACAGAAAATGCGATTTTTAAATATTTTCCAGTGGGCTAGATATTAATTAACAGTCATACAAACATCTTTACCGAAGCCTCTATACTTGACGGTTGGTCTCGCGCGTCCATCATTTTTGTAGTTATTTACACTTTTCACGTGCGTTCGTAGTTGTAATTGATTTAACATCCAAAACGCAACTGTACTGTGGACAGTATCAGCGGTTAGACTATGGATGGTTCTACACTTAAAATTTTTATCGGAAATGGTAAACCATCCGGGAAGCTTTGGCATACTCGTTTCAACCTACTACGATTTGGGACATACTATTTCTATTTTCAAATACTGTTTAGGATGGATAGTATGCGAATAGGGACGCAGCCATATTTTTGACTGGTAAGCCCAGAAGTTCTCCTCTCAGAAAATGATAATAGGTTCAGGTTGGATATTTCAAGAAACATGTTCAACAAACCCTGGGGGTGAGACTTGAGGGTGATGAGCATGGTTGCATCTAAGAGAGATTCATAGTGGCACGTGTTACAGACAGCATTTTTGGACACAATGTAAGTGGAAAACCTGCCTTGAGACATTTCCCTTCCCTCGGTACCTTCCTCTGTATGATTGTGGCCATTTAAAAGCCATAGTTGAATGAAAGGATGTTGGCTGGTGAACAAATCTAGCAATCAGTGTCTATTAGTTGGTTTTACAATGCCTCCAAGAGACATAATAAACTAGCAAAAAGACACTTGAGCAAAAACATAATAAATTAAAAAGTTCTTACAGAAATAAACTAGAGTGTGTTTGGAAAGATCAAACCCCTTTGCTCGGATATCTGGTAATGATAGAAGAACATCTGCAGGACAGGCTGTGTCCAAACATGAGACTGTGCCTGATGAAGATCAAGCCGATCAGATTCCCCTCCAACGGTCTCCATGTTAAATTGCTTTGCTTCAGTCGTGGTAGTTTGAGCCGAAGCCTGAGTCTCGGTCGACCCTGAGATTGCAGTCATTCATTTTTATTTTGGCATCAAAAACAAACACGCACAAACCCCTGTGCATACATACTCACACAAGTGAACTGTAGATGTCCTGGGTGCCTGGGGGTCCCTCCACTCCCCAGAATAAGATCTGTAATGAGAGCATTTGTGTATGTATGTGGGGGCATGTGTGTCTGAAGGCCATTCCCGTGGAGAGCAGAGTCCAATCTGTGCTAATTTTAGCCTTGATTATATGAATTGGCTCAGTGTGTTAGTAGAGGCCAGGCATGCCGGCCCCAGTGCCGCCAACCCCTCCCCTCCCGATTCAGATGCACCTCTCACCCAGGCTACTGTACTCCTGCGCTGGGCTGGAGGTTTTGCTCAGCCCCCTGATCTCTCCCAGGGCCAGGCAGTCCACTTAAGCGTTCACGCTGAATAGGATCTCAGTGATGCGGGTTGAGAGACTAGAAGAGAATGCCAGGCATGCTGGGAATGATCCCGAGTGCAAATGCTCTCACTCAAACATCTATCCACCGATACGGTCACCCATACACTAAAAACAAACACACACTTGGGCTTTTCCAAGATAGCCGTCTTAGACTATCAGTTTCCTCTCATTCTGACTTAAAGCTACATCAATATATATTCATACTTGGTATCTGTTTAGTCTCTATGTTTGCAGTTGCACCACAATGACTATATAATGATCACATACTCTGCAGGCAGCGTTTATTCCAAATGGCATGCAACCTAACAGGCACAAACCCTCTTGGACACATTGCTTGTTCTTATTCAAATGCAGTTGTTGCATTCACATATTGTGTATGCGTGTGTGTTTGTGTGTGTGTGTGTTTTATGAGCTTGTGTTTACCCTGTGGCTGCTTTTAATGCCCTTCCGCCTTCCTGCTGCCCATAAGGGCATCATTATGGGCCAGTGCTGACTGAGGCTTGCTTTGTGACACACACACACACGCGCGCTCTCTTTCTCCCTCTCTCACATACAGATCCGTTGCAGCCTTCAGAAATTGCCACACTAACAGGGGTTTGTCTCTCATCCAATTATTCAAACACATAAACATATGCAAAAATGCAGTTATTAATTATCAGGGCTCTATATTACTTGAATGTTTGTACGCTATCGTAATGTGAAATATTTGCAATTCATCTTTATTTTTATAGCGCTTTCACCATGTAGATCGTGGCAAAGCAGCTTAACATAGAAGATCTAGTAAACTGAAACTGTGTCAGTCCAGTATTCAGAGTTGAAGTTCAGTTTAATTTAGTTCAGTGTGGTTTAAATTTCACTGCTGAAAGTCCAAACACTGACGAGCAAATCCTCAATGCGCCCCAAACCAAGCAAGCTTCACCAATTGACGAAAGTGAAGTAAAAAAAAATACTTTCATTTTCTTAATGGGTGCAGGTTCCAACATGAGTTTGAAACTCTTTTAACTAGGCATACAAATTCTAGCAACACATTATTTCATAAATCCTCATCATTAATTGTTTTACATTATATTATTTTGGAAAGAGATTTTTCACTGATGAGATTTTAAGGTACATTTAGAACCCAAAAATTGTCTTCTTGCTCATTGCATTAGTTTTGACAAATCATTGATTTAATTTGAAGAAAAGCTCACTGTGTACGATGAAAAACGTAATCATCATTA